TTCGTCTATATTAATTGATATGGCTGGGCGTATTTGATAAACAAACCAAAGCGGTATAAAACACGCCGATGAATTACCCAAATTATATATATTTATATATACTTAATAACTATTTGTGCATGAAATATTAACATGCAATGCACTGTGTATACCATCTCGGTGACTGTGACTGTGTCAAGTATAAAGTATAATTGTTCAGACAGCCCATGAACCCACCCCGAAATGCACGATTCTGAATAATTAACGCATCACCGGAACGGGTCACCGGTCTAAAACAAGTGCCAAAACAACTCAAGAGAGTACGCTGGCCACACATTAAATACATAAGATCTCAGGTTTGCACCGTGGTACCATGGTAAAGTTAACATTTCCATTTTTTTTAAGAAACTAACATAATACGAGCTGATTGTGTAACGGTGACCCGTTCAAACCAAAAGAAAATATTACATAATATGTATTCTCTCATATATCTTCGGATCACCGTGGTGATCCGTCGTTTATTCTGCGTATACAACACTTCAAATCGTTTCCAAATTCCAGCATTTGTTCAATAACTTATAATGTTTAAGTGAATTAGTCAACAAACCTTGTAGAAGGGAAACAAAATATGTAATTTTGAGATTTTTAAATGGTGACCCGTCACGTGCACATATGAACACTGATTAGTATGCTGATTGCATGCATTTGATTAGTATGCGAATCGAATGCATTTTTGCTAAAACGTATGTCCGATAAACATAGGCAGTTCAAATATTCACTGAAGAATAAACTCTGCAAAGCAACGCGGACATGACAGGATATTCACTTGTTCATCTTGCGGGATTTGCGAGAAGAACTGAAAACAACGCCATCTGACTTTCATCATCTCCGTTTCAACGCAGTCTACTGCACTCCCTCGCACAAAACCGAAGTGCTCGTTGGCCGTGGCAAGGATAGGGGCATCTTTTTCAAAGACAAATTGTCGTTGTGCAACGTTTAGGTCCATTCATAATGATTATGAATTTTTGTGTTGTCAATTTCATTACTTCAATAATTAACTGCATGCATATTCGTGCACTTGTATACATATAGTTATCGACAAGTTCATTTGTTATATATATTACAACGTTTTCCCAGAAATAAACATAAAATACATGGGTCTTATTGTTCAAACATGTGTGCTAATATTTTTTAATGATTCTCAGCAAATTTTACTTCCCTTATTAGTAATAATCTGCACTCGCATGTTACACAATCAGAGCTTCGCCAAGTGTGCATTCCAAACGTTCTTATTTTAGACAATCTTATGCAAAATAAACGAGACACTCCAGCTCCCGCAACCTTCTCAATGTTGGTTAGTGATTGTTAGCACCGTTTCAGGCCTTTCTTCTCAATTTCGACTTCAAATCGCAACATTGGATAGGGGAAAGGGGGATAAGCCTTTCAAAATCATGATGGCACGTTTTATTTTGCAAGAGATTGTAGCTAGAGATTTCTAGAAGTCAAGAGCAAGTAAATCAAGACACGCGTGGAATTTTGGGGTAGCCAAAAATAATTTCCCAGAAGTTAAAAATCGTTGTTCTTTCGCAACGTTGACACCGCAATTAACTTTTTAGAAAGGTTTCTAAAGTGGACCTTGCCGCGGAACATAAACAATGTTGGTTGCACTACAATATATCCATATATAATTTTGATGTACTTATTTGAAGCTATATCTTTTATTATCAAATCTTTGATAATATATACAGTAACAGGTGCACTGGGAACAGAAAGTGTATTCATTGGCTTTGCAATACCAAAATAATAAATTGGAATTCGGAATCCACTACAGTTCCAGAATCCGGAATCCAAGATGTGGAATCCGGATTCTAAGGACTAGGATCCGGAATCCAAATACCTCCTGGATTACCTCACATAGGGCGAGTCTATAAATGATAAATGTTTACTAATCAGAGTTTAATTTCCAAAAATATTCTACTTATCGTTCGCGATTTGTCTTTTGAGTTTGCCATAGGAAGTAAGAAACCACCTCTTAGCGGAACAAGATCCTTGCTAATTTTGCTTCTAAACGTGATTTTGATTTTTACGGGATTGCATTTGATACACGAGTTATGTGTCACTAATAGTTTTGTGTTCTAGCAATTAGACAGGCAAATTACACATTCGGTAATTTGGTCAAAGTAATTCATTAGACTGCCAATTGTACAAGCAATATATGAGATTTTGTTAAGCTAAACGATATAAAATTAGGTCTTAAGGAAATAAAAAAAAAATTCGTAAAAACTGATAATAAATTTTGGAAAGTTCAGTTACAGACAATACCTTAAACATCGCTTTTGCCGTTTTATGGATGGTTTGCAATATATCTTCTTTTTTCTTCTTCAACTGGATTCAATAGCAGTCTTCTGATAACGATTAACAAAGAGCATGATTTGCCCTTTTTATATGTTCAGCAGGCATACTTATATAACAGAGATTCTCACACATCATTAGATATTCATAGCATTTCGGCCAATGACATGGTGTAATTTACATCACGTGTATCTATCTGGATACCCCGTATAGACCAGGACTTTAATTACTTCAAGTGGGAAGGGCTTTGAACAATAGGGTAATTGAGGGGTAAACAAAAGATTATGCAAATATATTTAATTGCTATGTTTAGAATTATTTCTAAAGACAGTAAGCTGTATTTCGAAATAACTTCTAATAGTCCAGTAGATCTGTGACCAGAGGTCAAAGAAATTGCAATAATTTTTTTTTCAATGGTAAAATGTGAGGGAAGGTGTCCTGTTTAACATACTAAAAATCCCAAAAAATCTCTTCGGTGGAACATGGTGAAAATCGAGTTTTTCTTACTTCTACCTACAAAGAACCATTGTGGACAGAATGTTCAAATTTTGAAATCATTTTTAGGCAAATGTAACCTACATTATTGGAAAGCTTCGAAAAAACTAAAATATAGATCATTAAACGGTTATATTCAATTTACTGGACAGTTTGTCGTTATTCTGGCTCAAAGTTGGAAAAATAGAGAAAAATTTGCACAAAATACAAATTTATGGCATTTTAAATTTTGTATAACTTCGACTGGATAGGCAAAAGCAAGACAACCGTTTAATGATCTATATTTTAGAGTTTTCTACGCTTTTCAATACTGTAGGTAACATTTGGTAGAAGTAAGAAAAACTCGATTTTCACCATGTTCCACCGAAGGGATTTTTTTTTATTTTTAGTATAAACACGTTCTACGATAGGGTTGCATATTCTATTTAGCTCAAATTTAGACAAATCTTACGATTTGATAAAGAATTTGCAATAAATGTTGAAAATTTTGGATAAATGTTGCCAAAAATTGCAAATATCATAACGTCTCCGAGGCTGTGTTGCAATATTTTCAAATGTTCGTTTCATTTAACAAGAAATTTTAAACCAACCATTTAGACGAAAAGTCTATTTCAACTGCATTGCAGTATTGAAAAAGTATAAACTTATTTTTAATTTTATGAGAATGATTACAATTTTCAATAATAATGTCCAGAACGTTAATTGTTATGTCATGCACAATTCGCGCATTTATTGTGTAATTAGCAAACTTTCATAAAACTCTGGATATATTTGAGGAATAACATTCTAAATTTCATGCCAGTGTCGACATTGGCAAGTTCCTGTGATAAAAATCAAATAGCAATAAAATATTATCCAAACTTTTGTGGTAAGATACATTACTAAGAGGAAATAGGAGTTTTGTTCCATAATCATCAACTTCATATGACCAGGTATTACTTACTTATCGTCAAATTTCATATACGCAGAGATATTGGGTTGTTAAGTAAGTTCAGAGTTTGTAGAAATCTATGGAATGGTGTGGCATGCATGCATCCAACAGAACCAAGGTGGTGTTAGTGGCATCCAACCCAAAATGGCGTTGGTGCATCCAACACAAAAATGGTGTTAGACGTTTCCAAAACCAAAATGGTGTTGGACACATCCAAAACCAAAAATGGTGTTGGACACATCCAAAACCAAAATGGTGTTGGACACATCCAAAACCAAAATGGTGTTGGACACATCCAAAACCAAAATGGTGTTGGACACATCCAAAACCAAAATGGTGTTGGACACATCCAAAACCAAAATGGTGTTGGACACATCCAAAACCAAAATGGTGTTGGACACATCCAAAACCAAAATGGTGTTGGACATATCCAAAACCAAAATGGTGTTGGACATATGGAAAACCAAAATGGTGTTGGACACATCCAAAACCAAAATGGTGTTGGACACATCCAAAACCAAAATGGTGTTGGACACATCCAAAACCAAAATGGTGTTGGACATATCCAAAACCAAAATGGTGTTGGACACATCCAAAACCAAAATGGTGTTGGACGCATCCAAAACCAAAATGGTGTTGGACATATCCAAAACCAAAATGGTGTTGGACATATCCAAAACCAAAATGGTGTTGGACACATCCAAAACCAAAATGGTATTGGACATATCCAAAACCAAAATGGTGTTGGACACATCCAAAACCAAAATGGTGTTGGACACATCCAAAACCAAAATGGTGTTGGACACATCCAAAACCAATATGGTGTTGGACACATCCAAAACCAAAATGTTGTTGGACGCATCCAAAACCAAAATGGTGTTGGACACATCCAAAACCAAAATGGTGTTGGACACATCCAAAACCAAAATGGTGTTGGACACATCCAAAACCAAAATGGTGTTGGACGCATCCAAAACCAAAATGGTGTTGGACACATCCAAAACCAAAATGATGTTGGACACATCCAAAACCAAAATGGTGTTGGACACATCCAAAACCAAAATGGTGTTGGACACATCCAAAACCAAAATGGTGTTTGATGCACCCAAAACCAAAATGGTGTTGGACGCATCTAAAACCAAAATGGTGTTGGTATTCCATGGTATTTAAAATGGTTTGGTCAGCAGGGATAAAACATTCTGCCCTATAAATGTGGTTAAATGTATGATCAGATACTAGCTGGAATATAATATTGCAGAGTTCATTACATGTGTACGTAGTTAATTCTGAAATGAGACACAAGGGTTTTAAATTAAATTAAACTAGGGTTTTGCCTTGGCATTAGAATTCTGTTTTTAGGGTTTGTTATCCAAGTGAGTATATATACAAATTATGCCCGTTTTTTGACGATATGAGCTGATATGTAGGCATTTATCTAAAAATTAGGCTAAATAGAATATGCAACCCTATCGTAGAACGTGTTTATGTTAATCAGAACAACTTTTCTCACACTTTACCACTGAAAACAAATCTATTGCGATTACATTGATCAGGACCATGTACTTATATCTATTGCGATTACTTTGATCAGGACATGTGCTTTTTTAAAAGCATGTGAACACAGACAATTGAAGATTAAGACACAGATTAAGCAACTTTTTCATAGGAAACAATAGCGATAGTTGCCGAAAAGTTTGTTTTGTCGAACAGTACATTCACTAACTGTTCCTTTAACATTTTGTTTGCCGGACATAAGTAATACTATTCTAAGTCAAATCTATGTGTGTTATTGTTAGTGTGATTAACCCGAATATTTATCGGATATAAAAATAAATTGTGTAAACCAAATCATGAGCAGTTTTGTCCCCCAGCAAACCCCCTTCATCATCTGTAATAGCTTCTTTATCTCGTCTTGTACGCTTCTCCGCAATCGATTCGCCTTCCCGGTGGGTGGCTTTCATTTCTCTATCCAAGACTTTTCTGAAAGTCTGGAAACTGAGTAATACAGATTCTCACATTACAATTAATTAAACTAAACCATTAATTAAAAACGAACAAATTCAACATACCAGTGATTGTTAGCATTTAACATGTTAGCTTCAGCCCGGCCATTTTCGTCTAGATGTCGTTTCAACGAGCATATAAATTGGTATACTGTACGCTCGGGATATGGCTTGCCATCCTTGTCGCAAACTTCTTGATCAAGTTTGATAAGCCAGAAGTTTAACATTCTTGCCGTCATTGAACACAATTCTGTCTCCAAATTTTGAAAATTCTACAAATCTAAGCTGAAAGGATTGCACGCATGACTGCTTTACTTTCTCACCCACTTTGCCACAAAATCTTCAAAATATACGAACTCCCCAATGAGTTTTATAACGCGTTGTTTGTGGAATAGCATTTCGGACGTTGTCAATGCTTCTTTCCACGTTTTGAAAATCTCGTAATCTCCTCTTTTTGCAACAAGATGCCATGCTTCCTTCGAAGGCGAACAAATACTACAACAACAACGCCTTTAATTAATTCGTTCATTCTTTACGCATTCGCCTCATTGAACAACTTAATTCGCTATTGTTACTGCCTCATTGCTATCAATATTAAACTTGAAGCAAATTAAACTTGGCTTCCAAATCCCAATTCATTCATTTATTAGCGATTCCCAGCAGCCTTTCGCGCTCGTATTCGACTATTCCGCTTTGCTCGGGGGACAGTTAACCTTAATTGAAATAGCTGTATACTACCTTTGAAAACATGGCATTGCATAATTATACAATAGAAATATCAATTAAATACAAGCTATGTGGCAAGAATTTCGAACAGAACAAACGAACAGAACAGTGCGACCTAACCCCTTTAATTGTTGGTGAGACCGGCTGCATGTGTGCGCACAGGAAAAGCAGATAGCTTGCAATTGGAATATTAAGCAAATACGGATGCGTACTACTTGCGTCTTACAAATCAAAATAGTAGTGAGTAGCCTTATAGTTGCCGAATATACAGTATACATGCGTATTCGCATAATATTGGAAGGGCTGTTTGGTTTTCCTGTGCGGCCAATTGGAAGAAATCGTCACACGTGCCACAAATTATTCAACATGTTGAATTTTCGGCGCCAATGGCATGCGTGAAGAAAAACTCTCGAAAAAAACCACACTGTGGAGGTATTTTCTCACGTTAGTATGCATGATTGAAATTTTGCTAAGCACATACGTAGCTCTATTGTGTCCCGGGTTTAGGGCCAAGTAAATATAATTCCCGGTTTCTCATCAGACGTTTTTAAAATGCAAATATTGCGGCCCGCGGGTTTTTAATTTTTTTTTATATTAAACAATCAGTTTTTAATTTTTAACAGACGTTTTTAAAATGCAAATATTGCGGCGCGCGGGTTTTTAATTTTTTTTTGTATTAAACAATCAGTTTCTAATTTTTAAAAACAGAACCTAAATTGTTTAATAAAAACCACTATTCTACCACTATTCTACCATGTTTAATAAAAACCACTATTCTACCATTAGAATAAAAGCTCTGGCTAGAAGTTAAGTTTGCTGACCGGGAATTGATTTGGATATTGAAGGGCTAGCAAAAGGATACAGTGGTTGCCAGCGGGTTCAACATGTCCCCAAATGCTCGCCATTACACCCATGGGAGTGGCCTTCTACCCCCTGGCAACGTATTCATGTCGATTTTGCAGGACCATTCCTTGGAATGATGTTTTCAGTGATTATTGACGCCCATTCAAAATGGCCAAAGGTAATAATCATGCACTCAAAAACAACCACCTCCAAAACTGTCGAAGCCGTGCGAACAGTGTTTGCTCGAAATGGGTTACCAGAACAACTGGTTAGCGATAAAGGCCCTCAATTCACTGCAGAAGTGTTAACGAGTTGAACACGTAACTTCAGCACCATATCATCCAGCCACTAACGGCTTAGCAGAAGGATTCATTCAAACCATTAAACAATCTTTGACAATGAAGGAAAACCTTAGCTCCACGCAGACAAAACTATCCAAATTCTTCAAGGACATTGGCAATAAAAAGTTAGTATGTCTCATTCAAAAGAACTCTTAAAATTATATATTAAACTCTATTACCGATTTGTCATATCTTGCTTAGTTCTCGAAATATTTAGACTCCGTATTGAAATTATTTTAATGAGCTTTCCGCCATCTTGAAAAAATTCTTTTCCTCATTAACTATTGTATTGATGACGTCAGGAGTTGATTTAACAATATAAAACTACTCGAAAATGACCGAAAAACAATCCAAAATTGTTTGAAATGTTTTTAATCATTTCTAAATTTCTGACAGCAACCAGAAACGAAGTTTTGGACCCATATTGATCGCTTACTCTCAAGATAAAAAATTAGCGTGACCCCTCTCTTGACATAACATGCATATCCTCAATAATCCAAGATGGCGAACAGCTCACTTTTTTCAGTCGAAATATTTTGAAAACTAAGCAAGATATAAACAATCTGTAATAGAGTTTAATATATAGTTTTAAGAGTTCTTTCAAATAATTTTTTATTGCCAATATCCTTTAACGAAATATAGAAACACACCACACAGCACGCCTGGTGATACACCAGCAACTCTCTTCATGGGACGAAATTTACGCACACGGTTAGACTCGATCAAACCGATATTCGAAAGCATGTTATAGAGAAACAAGTCAGGGAAGCCAAACCCAAAGGAGCTATTGCTGGTAATGTACGTCAACTATTGGGCAGGCAGTTAGTGTCAGAAATTACAGACGGAAGGAAAAGTAGATTCAAGGAATTGTGCGTACTCGAACTGGACCAGTGTCATACCAGGTCGAGATTACACGAAATGTTATCTGGAGGAGATACATCGATCAATTACTTGCCTCGGAGAACATAAGCGACACTCAAGATCTCGAACTAGTTATAGATATTCCAGGTTTGGCCAATAAAAATAATGCTGAAAACGAAGCATTCGTGGACATCCAAGACCAACAGGAGACTTTAGAACCAATCCAAGAAATGGATGAAGTAGAACAACCTGAACAACGATATCCCATCCGAATTCGGCATCAACCAAAGTGGTTAGAACTTAGGATTTAATGATTCAATCTTAGGATTCAATGATTCAATCTCATGATTCAATGATTCAATCTAGCATTCAATGATTCAATCTTAGGATTCAATGATTCAATCGTAGGATTCAATGATTCAATCTTATGATTTAATGATCCAATCTAGGATTCAATGATTCAATTTAGGATTCAACGATTCAATCTGATGATTCAATGATTCAATCTACGATTCAATGATTCAATCTTAGGATTCAATGATCCAATCTTATGATTCAATGATTCAATCAAGGATACAATCTTATGATTGAATGATTCAATCTAGGATTCAATGATTCAATCTTAGGATTCAATTATTCAATCTTTTGTTTCAATGATTCAATCTAGGGTTCAATGATTCAGTCTTAGGATTCAATAATTCAACCTAATGATTCAATGATTCAATCTAGGATTCAATGATTCAATCTTGGGATTCATTGATTCAATCTTAGGATTCAATGATTCAATCTAGGATTCAATGATTCAATCTTAAGATTCAATGATTCAATCTTAGGATTCAATTATTCAATCTTTTGTTTCAATGATTCAATCTAGGGTTCAATGATTCAGTCTTAGGATTCAATAATTCAACCTAATGATTCAATGATTCAATCTAGGATTCAATGATTCAATCTTGGGATTCATTGATTCAATCTTAGGATTCAATGATTCAATCTAGGATTCAATGATTCAATCTTAAGATTCAATGATTCAATCTTAGGATTCAATTATTCAATCTTTTGTTTCAATGATTCAATCTAGGGTTCAATGATTCAGTCTTAGGATTCAATAATTCAACCTAATGATTCAATGATTCAATCTAGGATTCAATGATTCAATCTTGGGATTCATTGATTCAATCTTAGGATTCAATGATTCAATCTAGGATTCAATGATTCAATCTTAAGATTCAATGATTCAATCTTAGGATTCAATTATTCAATCTTTTGTTTCAATGATTCAATCTAGGGTTCAATGATTCAGTCTTAGGATTCAATAATTCAACCTAATGATTCAATGATTCAATCTAGGATTCAATGATTCAATCTTGGGATTCATTGATTCAATCTTAGGATTCAATGATTCAATCTAGGATTCAATGATTCAATCTTAAGATTCAATGATTCAATCTTAGGACTCAATGATTCAATCTTATAATTCAATGATTCAATCTAGGATTCAATGATTCAATCTTAGGATTCAATGTTTTAGTCTTAGGATTCAATGATTCAATCTTAGGATTCAATGATTCAATCTTAGGATTCAATGATTCAATCTTATGATTCAATGATTCAATCTTAGGATTCAATTATTCAATCTTATGTTTCAATAATTCAATCTAGGGTTCAATGATTCAGTCTTAGGATTCAATTATTCAATCTTATGATTCAATTATTCAATCTAAGATTCAATGATTCAATCTTGGGATTCATTGATTCAATCTTAGGATTCAATGATTCAATCTAGGATTCAATGATTCAATCTTAAGATTCAATAATTCAATCTTAGGACTCAATGATTCAATCTTATGGATTGAATGATTCAATCTAGGATTCAATGATTCAATCTTAGGATTCAATGATTCAGTCTTAGGATTCAATGATTCGATCTTAGGATTGAATGATTAAATCTTAGGATTCAATGATTCAATCTTATGATTCAATGATTCAATCTGGGATTCAATATTAAGATTCAATGATTCACTCTTAGGATTCAATGATTCAATCTTATGATTGAATGATTCAATCTAGGATTCAATGATTCAATCTTAGGATTCAATGATTCAATCTAGGATTCAATGATTCAATCTTAAGATTCAATTATTCAAACTTATGACTGAATGATTCAATCTAGGATTCAATGATTCAATCTTAGGATTCAATGATTCAATCTTAGGATTCAATTATTCAATCTAGGATTCAATGATTAAATCTTATGATTCAATGATTCAATCTAGGATTCAATGACACAATCTTAGGATTCAATTATTCAATCACTATATAGGCTCGAAGCCGGGCCTATGGAGCTGGCTGCGAGCCATTCGATCCGGCTCCAAGCTTATGGAGCTCGGCTCCGAGCCTTTTTAGTAGCCTAGATTGAATCATTGAATCACAAGATTGAATTATTGAATCCTAGATTGAATCACTGAATTATAAGGTTGAAACATTGGATCCTAAGATTGAATCATTGAATCCTAAGATTGTATAATTGAATCCTAGATTGAATCATAAGATTGAATTATTGAATCCTAAGATTGAATTATTGAATCCTAAGATTGAATCCTAAGATTGCAATTGAATCATAAGATTGAATCATTGAATCCTAAGATTGAATCATTGAATCCTAAGATTGAATCATTAATCATAAGATTGAATCATTGAATCCTAAGATTGAATCATTGAATCCAAAGATTGAATCATTGAATCCTAAGATTGAATCATTGAATCATAAGATTGAATCATTGAATCCTAACATTGAATCATTGAATCATAGATTGAATAATTGAATCCTAGCGCTAATGGAGCTCGGCTCCTAGCCTAAGGAGTTTGGCTCCAAGCCAATTGAATTCGGTTCTGAGCCATTCGAGCCGGCTCCGAGCCTGTGGAGCTGGGTTCCGAGCCTAATTGAGCTCAGCTCCGAGGAAGAACACTGGATAGATTCATCTTTATCTTTGTCTTCCCAATCTTTATCTTGCTTTTCCTTAACTTTATCTTCTGATCTTCTTATCTTCCTTATATTTATGATCCTTATCTTCTTCTTACCTTATCTGTATCTTCTTATCTTCCTTATCTTTATCTTCTTATCTTCCTTATCTTTATCTTAATCTTCTTAACTTCTTTATCTTTATCTTCCTTATCTTTATTTTCCTTATCTTTATCTTCCGAGCCATTTAGATTGGCCCCGAGCCAATGTAGCTGGGTTCTGGATCATTTAGAATAGCTCCGAGCCTATATGGAGCTCGGCTCCGAGCTTACAGAGCTAAGCTCCGAGCTATTTCGGCTCTGCTCCGAGCTAGGCTCGATATTTCCATCTAGGCTCCGAGCTATTTAGGCTCTGCTCCAAACTAGGGCCAATATTTCGATATCGGTTCCAAGCTATTTTGACTCGGCTCCGAGCCATTTAGAGCTAAGCTGCGAGCTATTTAGACTAAAATTATTGAGACTTGCATATCTATCTGTAAAATTAGCAAATTCTTACCCGCAGGAGCTCGTCCTTCCTCCCACCCCTCCCTCCCCCTTCAAAAAAATGTTGACTGTTATTGCAAGTATTGTGCTACACAATTTCAACTCAATCACGAGCGACATTGCTCTGTAGGGGGGAGGGGAGAGGAAGTTATACTTTCACATGCGTAGTCTCATAATTTTTGTGAAGGATTGTCTGAAATTTAAGAGAAATTGGGAAAGGGTACTCGGTCTTCTTTATTTTTTTGACATTATGTTCTTTTGTGCATTTAGCTTAGTATACAAGTAACGTAGGAAAATCAAACAGTTTGGGTTTGTAGGAAACCCTTGTTAGGGGGGGGGGAGGGGAATGGAGGTGGGGGGGGGGGGCTACTTTGCTCTAATACTGTTTATATTGATTATTCTTGGAGTTTTTTTATCATGGCAAGAAACAAATTGTACGTCCTTCATGCAGAAGCTTATCATTTTTGCAATTTGAATAAAAACAGAAAGGTTCAAGATAAATCCCAAATCAATAACTTTGAATTATTATATTAATTTAAAGATGCTGTAAAGTCCGTTCTGTGCATCAGTTCTGCTCATAACAAAGGGGACCCGCAGATATAAACATTGCCAAAATTTTGCATCTTTCTAAATTTTCGAACTGAAACGTGGAGTTTATATAATTTACAAGCATAGCGAACCAGAAAAGTGTTAGACATTCAGTTAGTATATTAACATGTCTTACAAATATAGCAGTTCTAAAATGTGTAAACAAAGCGTTTGTTATACGGACTTTACAGCATCTTAAAAGACGATAATTGATAAATTTGTTCAAACAAAATGAACGTCGTACTTACGAAACAGAAAACTGGACTTTATCGATGGCACAAAGGATTCTTACGTAGAAAGTTGAAGTTCAAACAGAATAAAAATGATTTACATTTGCAACGCTTCCGATTTCCTGTAGGTTTTTTTGTTGTTTTTAATTTATATATGCTGCTACTTTAACAGGCCTTACATGAAGTTTACGGTCAGGGCTATTTCAGATCCGTCAGAGATCTTACATTGTTTGCTTTGAATAGTTTCTTCCGAATTCGAGTATATATAAGTATGAATGTGCTTTGCATGAGTTACCAACGAGTTACCCACGAGTTTACAGTTGTGCTACTTAGCTTGATTAGCCCTTATGGTTATTTCTTTGTAGCCTTTACTCTATATTTGTGTAATGTATTTTGTTGTAAATTATTGTATCACCTCAGAGAGTTACCCTAAAAATCAATATAGTTTTTACTATAATATAACGAGTTACCACGAGTTACCAATAAAAAAAATTAGAAAAAAATAATTAGTTATTTTTCTAAATTTTTAAGTGGTAACTCGTTCTATTATAGTGAAACGTATATTGATTTTTAGGTTAACTCGTGGGTAACTCGTTGGTAACTCGTTGGAAACTCGTTCGTTATCAAACAGTTATTACTTATAAAGTTTATAATGCAATGGAGATAACAACATAAGTTTAATATAATTTAATCCTATTTAACTTGGCTTAAATACTGATGATAATAATGGCATTGAAAGGACATTACACACTTAAATTGCCACAAAATGTAATATTTAATGCGTTGTCCTTTTGACTTGATCACCATGTCAATGTGTTTGTCCATGGACTCAATTGTCCTATCAATAACAGTCTGGCGAATAGGTCAACAAGGTTTGCATGATTTGTTTGTTTTATATACAAAAATTATTGAGACTTGCATATTTATCTGTAAAATTAGCAAATTCTTACCCTCAGGAGCTCGTCCTTCCTACAACCCCCCTCCCTCCCCCTTCAAAACAATGTTGACTGTTATTGCATGCAAGCATTGTGCTACACAATTTCAACGCAATCACGAGCAACATTGCTCTGTAGGGGGGAGGGCAGAGGAAATTATACTTTGACATGGGTAGTCTCAAGAATACAAGAACTCTTTAAAGACAACAAAAACACCTGAATCTTACGCTCTTAGAAAACGACAGTACTAAAATTTGTAACACGTTTTGAAGAAATAAATGTTTTAAATCTAAATTCATGTGCATTTTATGCCTGCAAAGCCACGCACTCTATTTTAAGGTCCGAGTGAACGTAATAAATAATCCCTATCTATCCATAATAAATTCTTAAGAAATTAAATTATTTTGGCGGTAATACGTTTTCGATATCCACAAAACAACATTTCACTATATATATATATATATATATATATATATATATATATATATATATATATATATATATATATATATATATATATATATATATATATATATATATATATATATATATATATATATTTATATATATATATATATATATATATATATATGCTGGTTGTGCGATCAGTAAGAGACATGTTTTCGTTTATTGTTGTAACTGATCTATTATATACATTTAAAAAAGATAAAAAAGTATACTGAATTTTCGGTCGCTAACTGCGACCTTCCTCAGAGTTAACTAATGTCAAGTTGATTTGAACAAGTTTTAAATACTTAGCATATGCAAATTTACAAGGTATGCAACAAAGGCAAATAAGTTTGCGGGAAAATTTTACGCTCATTAACTGCCATTGTCTCCTTTGTTGAGTGTAATGACTCGAGAAATATACGTTTATCATAATTATGTACGCCCCTCTCTAAAATTTCTACATCCCCAGAGCATACTTCGTGTCCAGTTCGTTCTGCATGTTCCTTTATAGCCGACTCAATCTGCGGTCTTGTTCCCGGTTTATGTTCAGCCCAACGGGATTTCCATGATCTTTTACTTTCTCCAATGTAAAGGAAATTACATGTTTTACATTTGAATTTGTAAACAATGCCTTTGACTTGAGTTTCTGATGGTCTGTCTTTCGGTTTTTTGAATATTCCGCCCAATGTTGTTAGTGGCTTATACGCTGTTCTGATATTGGCACCAGTCAAGATTCGGTTGACTCTCTCAGAAACGCCTTTGACATATGGAATACATGCATAGCCTTTGGGCTCAGTAACAGAAGTTGGTTTGTTCGAACTTTCGGGTTTACTTGCAACACTGTTTATAAAAGCAGATGTGTAACCATTTACACTTAAGGCCTTTCGAACATTTTGTTTCTCAGCTTTTTTCCCCTGGATAGTATTCGGAATTTTATCAGCTCGATCAAGCAACGTTTTAACCACTGTAGCTTTGTGTTGTTTTGGATTGTGTGAGTCGAATGATAAATATTTGTCCGTATGTGTAGCTTTTCTGTGTACAGCCACCACCACGTTTCCGCATGGTCTGACAACAACTTCCGTATCCAGGAACGAAATGACGTCATTATCGCCCACCGTCGTAGGTAACTCAATGGTGAATTGAATGCATGGATTTATCGAATTCAAATGGTCGTGAAAACTTTGAACGCAGCAACGCTTTAGACAAGAATTGGAGTCGTCTACATAACGTTTCCACCATTTCAAGTCAACTGGCGATGTCGTTATAGCTATTCCTTCGACTTCTTGCATAATAAGTTCCGCGATAACGGCACTCACCGGCGATCCCATGGCACACCCTGAAATTTGATGAAAAAAGTTTCCTTGAAATTTGAAAAAACTGTTGTTCAAGACAAATACCAGAAGATTTACGACTTGTTTAGCAGTCAAAAGTGTACATCCTTTCCATTTGTGGGATTCAGAAAGTCGTCGCTTCACTACATCCACAGCCATTTTTACGGGGATGGAAGTGAATAGTGAAATAACATCAAATGATACAACCATTTCATCTTTCTCAACTCTCTGGGTACACACAAACTCCGAAAAAGCTTGTGCATTTTTAACTGAGTAACCATTCTCTTCATACAATGATTGTAAAATTCCCGCTAAGTGCTTGGACAACTGATATGTTGGTGATCCGATCGAGCTATTTATTGGTCTTAAGGGGATCTGTGTTGGAGGATTTTTCTTTTCAATGGTGAAGTGGTCGTGTTCTTCTTTTAGCGGAATTTTATGGACTTTGGGAAGGCCATAAAATGCTGCTGCCGTGGAATCAAAAGGTCTTAATTTCCAATAATCCGACTCCGACAGATGTCCTGAATCACATAAAGTCTTGAGCATCTTTTGCAAGTCATTTTCTGTTCTTGTTGTAGGATTTCTACGTTTATCTGTAATCTTTTTATAAACTTTACTGTCCTGTAACATTTCTTTCACTGTTGTTATGTAATCTGATCGATCCATTACTACGGTTGAATTCCCTTTATCCGCTTTAATGATTAGGATGTTATCGTCCGTTCTCAAGCCTTTCAATGCTTTCGTCTGACTGCTCGACAGGTTTTGTTTTCTTGGGGCTTTAGCTTGTTTCAACGCACCAGTTACTTTCTGTCTCACTTCGTTCTGCTCTTCCTCTGTAAGATTGCGTACCCCTTGCTCAACTGCAGGAATAGCTATAACGAAGGAATAGCTATAACGACATCGCCAGTTGACTTGAAATGGTGGAAACGTTATGTAGACGACTGGCTCCAATTCTTGTCTAAAACGTTGCTGCGTTCAAAGTTTTCACGACCATTTGAATTCGATAAATCCATGTATTCAATTCACCATTGAGTTACCTACGACTGTGGGCGATAATGACGTCATTTCGTTCCTGGATACGGAAGTTGTTGTCAGACCAAGCGGAAACGTGGTGGTGGCAGTACACAGAAAAGCTACACATACGGACAAATATTTATCATTCAACTCACACAATCCAAAACAACACAAAGCTACAGTGGTTAAAACGTTGCTTGATCGAGCTGATAAAATTCCGAATACTATCCAGGGGAAAAAAGCTGAGAAACAAAATGTTCGAAAGGCCTTAAGTGTAAATGGTTACACATCTGCTTTTATAAACAGTGTTGCAAGTAAACCCGAAAGTTCGAACAAACCAACCTCTGTTACTGAACCCAAAGGCTATGCATGTATTCCATATGTCAAAGGCGTTTCTGAGAGAGTCAACCGAATCTTGACTGGTGCCAATATCAGAACAGCGTATAAGTCACTAACAACATTGGGCGGAATATTCAAAAAACCGAAAGACAGACCATCAGAAACTCAAGTCAAAGGCATTGTTTACAAATTCAAATGTAAAACATGTAATTTCCTTTACATCGGAGAAAGTAAAAGATCATGGAAATCCCGTTGGGCTGAACATAAACCGGGAACAAGACCGCAGATCGAGTCGGCTATAAAGGAACATGCAGAACGAACTGGACACGAAGTATGCTCTGGGGATGTAGAAATTTTAGAGAGGGGCGTACATAATTATGATAAACGTATATTTCTCGAGTCATTACACTCAACAAAGGAGACAATGGCAGTTAATGAGCGTAAAATTTTCCCGCAAACTTATTTGCCTTTGTTGCATACCTTGTAAATTTGCATACGCTAAGTATTTAAAACTTGTTCAAATCAACTTGACATTAGTTAACTCTGAGGAAGGTCGCAGTTAGCGACCGAAAATTCAGTATACTTTTTTATCTTTTTTAATTGTATATAATAGATCAGTTGCAACAATAAACGAAAACATGTCTCTTACTGATCGCACAACCAATATATATATATATATATATATATATATATATATATATATATATATATATATATATATATATATATATATATATATATATATATATATATATATATATATATATATATATATATATATATATATATATATATTGCATCTAGCCATGACAGAAGGTAAATTCCTGGTATAAAGTAAAAGCAAAGACTTGATGAAACAGCAACCTCGTACCCAGGGCCTCCTGCTGAGGGCGAAGGCCCTGGTAAATGCTGGTCTCAAACACTGAACTATATAGCAATATTTTTAAACACGAGGCGATTCGAACGGGGGGAGTGTCTGACAAAACTATAATTATTTTAAAAAAAACATGGCGTCGATCAATGAGCGCCAGTTATGAGCGCCCTGCGAGGACAAGATAAATTCTTTTGTTTTCAATGAATCTTCAAGGTGAACTGATATACATCGAATATAATTTAATTAGGTGGGTAACCAAACTGACTAATTTTTTTAATCAATATATTTGATACAATCCTATGATATTTAATATTTTATATACAAATTAATATATGGAACCATTGCTCTTTCTTTAGAAGTACCGAGCACGGAATATATCACAAAAATTACTGCCATCATTATCATAAGAACTCATTATTCGTTGTGATAAACTATGATATGAAAATTCACAAAAAGTTACAGTGAGGTTATTTTATGAGAAAAATATCGACTTTTATCACCGATTTTCAGCTGATTATTAATATTTTGAATTAATATCTGATGTAAATATATACTGTAATTGCTATATTTAAGGTGGCTCAATACACTTTTTAGCCAAAGGAGCAAAAGTTGAATATTTTCTGTTTAAATGCTTTTACAGGGTTAAGTTTTACTTATAATTGTAACACATAGTAAGACGTGTCGCAAACAAGAAGAATTCTGATAAAAGTCGCGTTTCCATGACAACTATAACGAATAATGGTAGCACTAAATAGCCGAAAATATCGCAGTTTTTCGAGTTTTTTTCGAAAATGAGTTCGGTGACCCCAATTTTTTTTTTAATAAATCAGTTACGTTAGTGTCGAGAAACATTTCTGGGAAGTTTAAAAAAAATCTGTCGACTCAATTCTTTAGAATTAAATTTCGACTTTTTTGACAGTTTCTGTCGACAATTTTTTTTTATTTTTCCATCATGAAATCTTGAAGCATGTATCTACTCATGTACAAATTTTCAGGGTACCTTACCGAACTCGTTTTGGAAATAATCACGGTTTTATTCCGCGCGGCCAAAGTTTTTCACACTCTGCAAGATCAATGAATTGACATGCGCGTACATGTTTTCGCAGGCGCATCTCCAGAAAAACACGCACAAAAAAGTTTTTAGTCTCGTCGAAATATCAAATATATATTCTGTTTTCTTGCTTAGAAAATTAATGCAAATATATTTGGTTTTTCATGCTAACTCGGGATAACGCCAAGAGAACAGGTGATTGTCGGTCGTTTGGTATAAGATATGTGTGACATGTATGAACTTTTTGGCTTTTCTACATAATTTTATATTCGTTTTCAGTCGTATTAAACTTGTGTGTTTTCATGTTGTTGTTGACAAGTTAAAACAGTTTGAGCCGGCGCATGATGCTGTTTCACTGAATTCCTTTGCTGTTAGTAACACTTTGATTACATTTACCAGTTGTAAGTACAAAAACACTCTGGATATGAACTTATAAATCGCCAAATATTGGAGTAAAAACTTTTCGCCGGTCCGGGGCCGATCGCCAGTTTTCACAAGAGTTTCAAAGTTGAACATTGCATTTTTTTACCTTAAAATGTCTTCTAAAAAGACTAGTTATTCAATGTTCAGAGCTAAATCAGGACGAAGTTTGTTCTTTGAGAACAAATGAGAACAAGGAAGACTCAAAACATCAAAATAAACATGACTTGTGGTTCGGATTTTATACTGAAAAAGTTGTATTTATTTTTGCATATATTTTTAACATTTTCGCGCGAGAACTGAAGATTAGGTACCAGTCCCCCAATGATGAAAAGTGTATGGAGCCACCTTAAACGTGATCTATATGTACTGTTGTCAGTCTAATCTTGAATAAACATAATACATTGTGCAGACAAATTGCCCATTTCAGTAGTTTATTTGAATGTATGTAGACAATGAAACTGTTTTCTATTCAGCCATAAACAATAGTAAGAATGATTACTTAATTATAATGTCATTGGAATGATACTCCTCCGAAAATCTTACCTAAACTTTTTAAAACTACACTTAAATAGCTAATCTAATTAATTATATTATACTCGTAATTTTATTATACAGGGTGTCCCAAAAACCCCGAAAACTATTGAAATCACTTATTGTCAAAATTTGAATGCTTTACCAAAAAGCTGAACGTAATGATGCATAAAATATTGACAAGATGCATGCATTAGAATCATAGTTAAGAACATCTCCTTGTAAAGTGCACGATTTTCTGTGCTTGGGAATTTAAAGCAAATTTAAAGAACAGTTTCTTTATGCATAAAATTTACTTATGTCAATCATTTATGCACTCGTGGGAACCAACAGAGTGCTAAGGCATTCAAATTCTAACAATTAAATTGTTATTGGTGATTTCAATAGTTTTTGGTTTTTTGGGGACACCTGTATAATTGTAGTATGTGTATTGGGTTTCTCTTTCACCATTCTCTTTCACCATGCAATATAATGGACCAGTCATTAATAATGGGTGAGAGAGGTGGGTGAGAAAAGGGAGATGGCCTTATGTACTAGGGGAAGATTTACTTAAAGTATTTTCATAAGAGAATAAAAAAAACAACATTGACCATGTACCTGGTATAAATCAACAGACTGATGTAATATAAATGACTTCAATAATAACACTGTCCCAAATGAATTTTTCTGTGTTGGTGTATGTAGTGTACTCAGGTGAATATGATATTTGTGGTGTTACTCTGAGTGTATATCCACACTGGGCGAGCTTGAAATATATGCCTGGCCACGGTGGGATTCGAACCTACGACCTTTGGAATACTAGCCCAATGCTCTTCCAACTGAGCTACGCGGTCAGGACAGTTCGAGTAAGTGATATTTCGGAACAGAATCTAGTTCCTTCAATACCAATGTATTCTAGTAATATGAAAAAATTCAGACCAACAGACCAACTGTGACCCTAACCACTAACCATCTCCCTCTATCAACTGTCCTTATATAAACATCTAATAATTGAGACAAGTAAATTATAGCCAATTATTGCCCACAAATATTAACTATTATTGCAAATAAATCTTCTGCGTGTTTGATATCCCATATTTCATACGAACTAAATAGATCTGATGATGATGTGAGAAACTCACAATTTTCCACAATTGCATCAATGAGTTCCAAGGTTACTCCAGTGCTGGCATCAATCCCATTAATGCAGTATCCAACTTGTGCTAACTTCATCCTATATTCTCTCATCACCAAGTTTATGGTGTCACGTTGCCTCTTTGAAAGTTGTCGTTGAGCTTTTCTCGCCTCCAACTGCGGCACTGCTTGCTCTTGCATTGCAATTTTCGGCTGAGTGCTCTTACATGAGGTGCATTGGCACTGTTTAGAACAATTAGTGCAACAACAATGTTTTACACATGAAAACGTTGTCATCATTGGAGACCCCAAGTGCTTCAATATAATATCACGCAAACAGACGGTTTCCTCATGACAGAAATCACGCATTTCATCAGTCATTCCGGGTTTATTTGATGCAATGTCGTGTCCGTTGTAATATAAAGTAGCGCGAGCTGGTTCACCGTCTCTACCTGCGCGTCCGATCTCTTGGTAATATGCCTCAAGAGTACGAGGAGGTCCAATGTGAATAACTTGTCTCACGTCGGAGATATTTACCCCCATTCCAATTGCAACTGTAGCAAAAACAACTCTTGGGACTTTCGATTTGTCCGAACCTTGTAACTGCGAAAGTATTTCCCGTTTTCTTTCATCCGTTTGTGGAGAATGGTATTGGGCAAATAGGCAATTTTTAGGCTCGGCAATACGTTTCGGATGAAAGCTTTCTTCTCCTATCACGTCTAAGAATAATTTATAGGCATAACCACACCATTTCAAGGGGGTGTAGATTATAGTAAGTGGATAGTTGACCAGTTGTTGCTTTAAATCTTTCGCGATGGATAATAGTATGGAATGATAGCTCTCTTCTCCTAAAGAAGACGCTAAACGTTTTGATTTTTCGATATAAATGTTTTTTCTATTCAAATTTGCTATAATTATACGAGGATCTTTCAAACTTAAGTTGGCAATCAATACTTCTCGCGTTTGATTCGGAGCTGTTGCTGTAAGCAGTAGAACTGGGGAATATGGAAATAGTGATGTCAGTTGTGAAAGTTTTCCATAATCCTTTCGAAACTCCCTTCCCCATTCCGCAACAAGGTGTGCTTCGTCAATTACTATCGTGGAAATCTTTTCTTGGAAAGTAGAGCTCATGAGCAATTGTCTACCTTCTTTACACGATATAAATGACTCTGGGTGCGCGTAAACCAAATTAAACTTGCGTTTCTCCAAGTGTTCCTGTGACGCTGTATCTATCACAAATTTCGATTTATTGATTACATGCTCTTCATCTCCATCGTTTTCTGTTGTATTTCCTCGCAACTCTGCATCACCTACTAATGAAGTATTTAGAACTACAGCGTCTACTCCACGATTTTGTAATATAGTTATTTGATCATTGATCAGAGAATTTAATGGTGAGATTACAAGCACAGCGTTATTCGACGATGATCCTGCGTATTTACGGATGTTTATATGATCACAAATGAAGGGAAGTAAATGGAATATTATAGATTTTCCATAACCAGTTGGTAGTACAGCAATTGTATCATGTCCTTGCAGGACAGAATCCAGAGCTATATACTGTTTTACCTTAAGAAAAATTCCTTCGTAATGAAGAGTATCTAATGCGTAACGAATACTGTGGAAAAAAGAGTTTAGCGTAATCATGGCGTAAAAGCAACCGCGTATGTTGTCCCGTTAAGAGTATGGGCGCGGTTTAAATTTAACATGTATATATTGATATGAGAAAACTTAGAGTTATGAAGTGAATCATCGCTTTTTTTAGAAACGTCATACTTTTTTTGGTAATTTTAATAATTTCCGTACTATTTTTGTATACAAAATTAATGCTATGTATTATTGTTTAAACAACGACAACGTGGTTATTAAGATATCTTGCAGCGCAAATGGCTTCGAAAGAAACTCCAAGAAAGGAATATTTTAAGTGGAAAAACGTGGATCATTGCGGTTTTTGTGGCAGTTCGAATAATTCGGACAGATTTACGAATGTTTTTAGTGGCGTTGGAAAACGAAAAGATTTAGTATCAAAAATTAAAGTCGCGTTGAACGTGAACGTATGTTGTGGGGAAGGAAGTTTGCGAATTTGCAGAATTTGTGAGAGAAAGTTGAATAGTTTTAATGACTTCATCAGTACATCAAAGTCGGTACTTGAAAGTGTAAGAGAGAGAGGTTCATCCAAGCGATGTCTAAATTTTTCACCACAAGTTTCGGGAAAGAGGGCGAACATCTGCGACTCTGATGAGAACGATGAAATTAATACTATTTCAGATAAGGTATTGCCTTTCTAAACTTTTATTTTCGCACCATCTAAATTACCGTACTCTATCTATTAAGCCGGAGGGGGCGGGGGGCTCATTCTTTCCGAAGTGGGCATTTTAAAGAGATATATGGTGTATACCTAGAGTATGTATATTGTATACCCTATATATATACCCGGGATGGATTTAAATAGAAAAATTAAAAGAGAACAATTTATAACGGGGTATTTAACCCAGATATTTATGCAGAATTTTAAGATTGACTAAAGAGGGTACTATTCTTCTTGTAGTTCTTCAGAATTTTTTTAAGCCAATGTTAAGTCACTAGATAAGTGTTATTTGATCGGTGTTACATGTTTAACCAAATTGTAACATATCATTTCCCTAAAGGAAGAATTTGGAACCGAACAGGAAGAATGGATTAAGCAAATTGATCGCGATTGTTCTGAACTTTGCCGAAAGAAATCACCATCTAAGCTTAGAATGAAGGACTTCTCAAATATGAACAATTTTAGCTGGGATGAACTAGTTACAGAAATGTTGGATCGTTGTCCAGTTTTGTTCAATGCTTTGTTAGTAGCCATGGGACGTTCGAAGGAGCAAGTGAAAGATGTGGGTCCACGTATTGGTATGTGCTATGCAATTTTGATGCAGACAAGAAACCATGAACTGAGTTTGGTACAGCGAATTAACACAGTTTTGATGACCAATGGGGGTGCTAAAAAACAGGTAACAATATATTGGCACAATACATCAATTTATTATGGTTTAGCTGATAAATTATTTTAATATATACAGTATATGTAATATGTATATATACATGGGCGTACCGAAAGGAAAAGTTTAGGGGGGCAGAAAAAAATTTGCCCGACTTTTCCGGATTTTGCCCGACAAGTACCGAAAAATTTTTTTCCGTAATTTATTCTGGCAACCTCCAAAAAAATCGCCCAAAAAATTTCGGTCAGTGTACCATCTTAGGGGTCAAAAATTTTTTCCGGACATACCAAAAATTTCCGGAACCTGACAAAAATTTTCAAAACATCACAAAAATTGACCACAAAATTTACAGAATTTGTCCCATTTATTTTTATAATAAACCAAAATTGCCCGACTGTTCAGCGAATATTGCCCGACTGCCCAACAAACTGGGGGGGGGCTACGCCCATGTATATATATGTTTACCATTTTCTCTTTATTAAAACCCCAGGGGGCATATTTTTTCAGGCCTTTCGAGGGGTCTTATTCGTGGGGAGCACTGAACAAAATTCATGTTTAAAAATTGTCTTATAACGTGTTATCATAGCGTATGCCATGTAAAATGTAATATATCCCGTATGAAATTGGATATTAATTAATGGACCCAAAAATAAAATACAAATTACTTTGATTAATTAAACTGGCTGTTATGGGGGGGGGCTATAAAGAGAATATGGTATGTTATAAAAATCATTTTTTCATTTCCAGCTTTATGTTCAATGTCAGAAAATGGGATTTTCCCTGTCACACACCAGCAAAATGAACATGCTTGACCTCATTGGTGGGCACTTTTCAGACAAACTGGTTGAAGAAGTTAGATGCGGGAAGAAAATTCAAGGCACTGGTGACAACTGGGACATGAAAATACATGCACACGATATGCTTTCAACAAATCAAAACACTGATTTGCACTACTTTGCTTCTAATCTTATTGTTGAGCGTGTACCATCAGAGAATCTGTCAAATGTGTCCCCACAAGTTAAGATATCTTCCCTCCATAACACAGCTTTCCTTCTTGACAGCAACGAGGCCAACAAGTTGAGAGATGATATAAAAGTGTTGGTTGGAAGAG